ACTTCATGGATCATGCATTTCTCGAAAACGTACATTTCCAACATGGGGGAGCTTCCATTTCCCTTGCTCGAGGAGCTGGGCAATTGGTTTGCTAATGTTTTGTCGTTGCCAGCAGAGGTGAGATGATCAGTGCTTGTGAAGTGGCCAAGCTCGACGAACAGGCGAAATGGAATTCTGTTCACCCGAGCTGCGAGAACCGATTTTCAATATTTTGTCAACATGGACAGATTGATCAAATTGGCTAGAATAATCTGCCCATACGACGTTCACCAAAATTTGCGGATTACGTTTTCCTTAAAATGCGGATCACAAGCGAATAGTGGGTTCTGTGTTTGAAGGGAACAATCGGTTTTCCAAAAGAACTTAAGTTAAGAAAAGGTTTTGCTACTATTTTCTGAGTATATGGGTAACTACTATCCACCAAACTTTCAACAAAACCCACAATCGTCTTGCCGGGACTCGAATTCATTTTGCCAAAACCCCTAAATACTTTGGTCAAGACCCGTAGTATTTTGGTCTCGACGCGCAGCTTTAGTCACAACGCGTTACGCCATTCAGATCAACAAGTATAATAGGAATATTTTCAAGTCAACGGTTGGAGAAATTATTTTCTACAAATGTTGACGTTGCAAAGCTTGGTTAAGAAGTAAGGTGTTGGAGTTGTTTACTGCAACACATGTGGATTGGAGAAAGTTTAACCAATGTGCTGGTATCATCAAACTATTTCACACACCTTGTGGAGCTTCAGCGTCTCCGTATAACACGCGATACTTCTGTGAGTAAAAATCTCAATCGCATATTATGAATTAATTTTACATGTTCGGTGATATGCTAAAATTTACGGAATGTTTTCATTCTAAACGCTTTTGGGCTTTTCCTATCAGAGATGATGTAATCGGAATAGAATGATAGTTTGCTCCTAGAAGTTTCGATTGCATTATTTGTTTTACGGCAAATTACCGGATTATCCGTGAATATGAACGGTGCAGTCTATCCAGAGTTGCGTTGAACAAATGTTATTCAGAGCATTTCTGATGTTCAGGGGTTAATTTACCTCTACTACAATAATAGTAAGGGAGGGGGTGGGGAAACCTGAAGAACCTTATTTTGTTGTTATTCTTTTTGTGGTGGTGGCGGTGGTGATAGCGGTGGTGCTGCTGCTGCTGCTGCTACTGCTGGTGTTGTTGATCGGCCAAGATAAGTGGTTTGATTATGAACTATCATGAATTCGAAATTTCCCGTCTTATATTGGCATGTCTTATCTCCACCCGATGATCGTGTGAACAGCGCGCGTGTTGACCTCCGGTGACTTCTAAAAGTCAACCAGATTCCAGTATCGTGTATCTGCAGCACTGCTGGCGTCTCGTTGCTCATCTAACCGACCATCCGTGTGATAGCGTGTGCCTAATTGTTGGTTCCCCGAGATGCTTGCATTATCCATTATGATGTATTGAATAAAAAGGCTGGGGATCAATGTGGTGACTGCTCACGAACGATCAACTCTTTTGTTTTATAGAACAAGATATCCTTGTACATTTACAGTTTGCGCTTATTACAGTTCTATTCCGTTGTTCAGTTCTGTGTTCTGATTTCAGTTCAAATCCTAGTTCCGATACGTATACAAATTACTAGTCCGAGTGCAAATTAGAACAACTGGCGTCATGATCGTTTTTAACCAATGGGTTCTTGTAACTTGGAGAACCTGACTATACATGTCAGTCGAAGATTACCTTGAACGATTGGGGATTTGGTGTATTACGCGGAAAGGACTCCAATGAGAATGCGAAACGGCTAATTTCCTAACGGAAAGGATGCATATTCCGATGCATATTGCAGTTATCACACGTTTTTCCCCAAACAGGGCAGTTGCTTCTTCCCATAACATGTATGCGGCCACAGAAACGGCGAGCAGCTGTTGGATGTGTTCGACTTTCAGCGAAAATTTCGCACAATCCATAATCCTCTGTCGTGGTAAGCGTCTTCATATGCTTCTCTGCTGCTTCTTCACTTCGACATATGTCGATGCATTGTTTCATTGTCAAATTTGGAATTTTTCGGAGGCGCTTTACCACAGCCGAATCCCGTAGGACAACGACAATTGGATTCCTTATTAGACTCTCTTCCAACCAGGCACAGAAATTGCACTACCGAGCCAGTGATTTTAGCGACAGGACGAATGCGTCGAGGGACTCATCATGCTGCTATCTCCTCTGGTTGAAAATGTATCGTTCGTAAGTCTCGTTAGATTCGTCTAGACAGTACTGTTCCATCTTCGTCATCACCACCTACCAATCTCCCCCGTCCTCATCCGGACTGTAAGTGAATCCATTTACGACACGCAGAGCAGCCGGACTAATCGTGTGACAGAACAAAGCCAATTGTACGGGACTGGATTCGCGGTCCATTGCTGTCATTGAACGAAAATCTTCATACTGTGTTCGCCAAAGATTCCAGTTATCAGCCAATCGCCCCGTCTCGTCCATAGTCAGGTACGCCGGAGGTTGGTCCTGCAGTCGACTATTCATTCTCTCCGACATTGGGAATTTCGCATAATTTTCCGCTGCCACCATGTCGAGGCATTAAGACGGGAGCACTTCACCCTACTCATTTTTGACGGTATACTGTCGACCTTAGCTAATGCAAGATAATTCACGAAGGTGGATTTGGCGTCTGCATTTTGGTTAGACGATAGATCAGGCTACTTGACCACTTTTGGCACGGCGATATCGTTGGAAAAGACTGCCGTTCGGTATGAAAGTATCAAGTGAAATTTTCCAGAAACGAATCCTCCAGGAGGTTGATGGTTTACCCGGTGTATTGTGTGTGGCGAACGACATTCTAATTTTTGGCAAAAATGCAGATGGACACAACAGACGGTTCGGAGGCTTTTTACAGCGTTGTACAGGAGACAGAATCAAACTGAAACAGGACAAACTAATCTTGTGTCAATCGGGAGTCAGCTTTCACGGTTACGTACTTACAAGCGAAGGGATCAAACCGGACGCGGAAAAGGTAAAAGCGATTTTAGAAATGCCTCCCCAACTGATGCAAAAGGCGTATCACGATTTAATGGAATGATAAACTATCTCAGTAGATTTCTCCCAGAACTAGTGGAATTGATGCGGCCGATTCGACGTTTGACGCATAAAGGAGAACCGTGGCTTTGGACACTAGAACAACAGGCGGCTTTTGATCGCATCAAGCAACTTATTGTAAAAACCCCAGTGCTGGCTTATTTTGATCCCAATGCACCTCTGTGCATACAATGTGACAGCTGTCAATTTGGCTTAGGTGCCGTGCTCCTTCAAAGTGGCCGTCTAATAGATTACCGGAGTAGGACACTAACGGTATGTGAACAAAGGTACGCCCAGATCGAGAATGAAATGCTAGCAATTGTGTATGCGCTGGAGAAATTCAATGATTACACATTTGGTCGACTCACGCATGTATACTCAGATCACAAACCACTGATCATGATTGTGGATAAGATACTCCACAGAGCACCAAGGAGGTTACAATCGATGCTGATACGTCTACAGAAATACAATTATGAATAGCATTACGAACAAGGTAACGCATGTTTGTGGTGAACACGTTATCACGATCCACACTACCCGACACAGGACAGGAACAAAAGCTGGAATCCGTGAACGTTGCATTGGCAGTGACGCAGTTCGAGATGTCTCACCTACGAACTGCAACTATTGACGATCCGAGCATGAAAGAACTCAAAGGAGTTATCACTCGTGGTTAGCCAGAAAGCAAAAAAGCCTTTCCGATGGACGTATTGCCTTATTTCAAATTCCGAGATGAACTAACTGTGCACGATGAACTGATTTTTCGCGATGAATGGTTGGTCGTACCGGAAGCGATTCAACAAAACGTAGTGTGTTTGATACAGTGCTCTCACACCGGTACCAACGGATGCCTCAGTCACGCCAGGGAGACATTATTGGCCGGGTATGTCAGAACAGATAAAACAGTTGATTGCTAAATGTGAAATTTGCAGGAAGTTTGACCAGCGACAAACGAAAGAACCGATGAATGTGCGTGCAATACCAGAGAGACCATGGCAGATAATAGCGCTGGATATTTTTTATCACGGAATGGACACCTACTTGATAATTGTTGACTACTACAGCGTCTTTTTTGAAGATGATTTATTGCGATTCAGCATATCGGCGGAGATCATTGATAAACTGCGCGTTCATTTCACACAACACGGAATACCACTTCAGGTGATTTCCGATGGCGGCCCCCAATTTCGTAGTACCGAATTCCTGAAATTCGGTGAACAATGGCGTTTTGAGCACTACGTTACTAGCCCCTATCATAGTCAGTCCAATGGCAAAGCAGAAAGCGCAGTTAGACAAGCAAAATGCGGTGAGGATGGTAGCGACCCACCAATGGCCCTGATTGAGTTACGGAACATACCGTCGGCCAACATGCAAACCAGCCCAAGCCAACGTTCATTTGGCAGACGCAAACGCACGGTTCTAGCCATTTGCGACCAGTTACTACAGCCACGGACTACGCCATCAATAATCATACAGTCAAGGCTACGAAAACGCATGGTGATACAGAAGAGGTATTACGACTGCGACAGTAAACCTCTGTGCTCACTCAGATCAGGAGACACGATTTGGACATAACCACCGGAGCCAACGGAGAAGGTGTGGGCGAAGGGAGATAGCGCGAGCAACAACAAAATCATACCTAGTACGCTGTGCTCAACAGATAATACGGAGAAATAAAGTTCATTTGAGGAAAGGGGAAAAAATGGTGACAATGACGAACAAAGAGATGATCCAAATATCATTCAGGAGAATGTAGAAATCTGTGTACAATCTGTGTACAGCAAGGAATACCAACGACGGATATGACCGCACAATCTCCATCCCGTACACAAAGTGGAAGAATATATCAATCAGGATCTTAATGAAAAAACATTCAAAAGAAAAAGGACGTGTTGGAAATTCTTGTTTGAACTGATCGTTTGTTTTACTGCATCAATTGTGTTTTTATGATTGATCAGCGGAAGACTTTAATTTTGCCCGTCGAACAATCTGATTGGTTCAGGGTTATATATAAACGCCTGTGATTCCCTTACCAAATGAGATTCGTGTCCAGTGGACTAGAGTAAATATATCGAGAACATTTCCTGAAGAACTGACTTTTGACATTCCCTTTTTGAAGAATTTGGCATTTCCTGACTTCCATATCGTTGTCGTATGGATCATTGAAAACCTTGCTGCGGAAACATCCACAACCGGCTAATTTCGAATCTGCTGAGAGAGCGAAATTTCATTCGCTCACACGTGGTGGAGGCCAACCCACACGTGAATTTATTCTCCAACTGCAAACATAATCATCATAATTTCGGAGATCAACTACAAATCCAGTTAAGTGATCGATTAATTGCTGGTATTAATTGCCCGGAACTGCAGCAAAAACTCATGCTCTTGCATGACTGCACATTTTATTTGGCTAAAGCAGTCTGTGAATAGTACCAAGACGTTTGTGCTATTGTTTGTGATGAACCCAACTTATTGTTCAATGCTAGCAATTCCAAACAGTCATCATCCGGACGGAAGCGGCTTTTTGAAAAGGGCTCGAAAACACCAAGCAACGTCAGTTCTCCAGCACACGGTGACCAACGGATTCAATGCTGGAACAAGTGAAATTCCTTTGGTCAAAGACATTCGCGGTTAGCATGTAGATTTCGTAATGCCAAGTGTCACCATTACGGTAAACTTGGCTACATGCAATCTGTCTGTAAACGTGCGAAGTCGTATCTTACCCAACTTACGATTGTTCATTCCTCTGAAAATTTATTGTGTGATTTACAGTCCCTAAATCTGGCCAGTACGACTTCACGTCCCTCTTGCTACATTACTCGTGATTTGATCATTATTGACGCCATTCGCCACATGTTTATCATGATTCTTTCATTACCAACAAGGTATTTCGTCAGTTAAACCCCCAGGTGTACTTTGCCCAACAGACATTTCAGTTAAGGATATTACTGGTCATTCTTTGACTGTTTTAGGATCATGTGAACTGCTCCTTACAGACGATAATTCACAAACCTTTCACTGTCCGTTTTTGGTTATTGATTCCGATATCTCTATAACTGGTTTGAATTGTATGAATCCCGTTGCAAACTCCTCTACTGATTTTGTGTGTTCAGTAGAGAAGGTGTCCCGCATGCTATCATGACTGACAATGGAAGTAATTTTACTGGCAATAAAGTTACCGATTGGTTGAACTCCATGAGTTATCATCATGTTCTCACTCCACCCCGACATCCACAATCCAGTGGCGCAGCCGAAAACTTTGTGCGCACATTGGATAGTGCCATTACTTCGGCGATTAGCAATACCGATGAACTGGACAGAAGCGTTGATAACGTTCTGATGCCATACCGAAACGCAGTACATTCAACTACAGGGCACAGTCCAAAAATCTATTCAGGAGTCGAGTACTTGGAACAAATCTTTCACACTTGGAGTTTGCAGAAGTCGTGTATTATCGTGATAACGATTTACGACCCTCCAGGGGCATTGTACTGGACAATATGGGACAAAGATTGTCTCAAATTGGATCTAGACGATGACACTGTACATCGCAGACATCTAGACCAAGTAATTTGTAATTTGCCCAATCCTAGTATTACTTGTGAACCTACTAATGCTGAGTCTATTTTCAATGAAATAAATTCTAATACAAATGTTGAAAGTAGTACAGAAGTACCCAGAAGATCCGAACCAGTACTCAACAAAGCCCGCCGTGATTAAAGATAACCGGAAATTCATTCAAGCTGAGGCGGATGTGGTGATTACTCACGAACGATGAACTCCTCCTTTGCTTTATTAAACACGAGAACCTTGCACATTTAGAGTTTCCGCTTATTACAGTTCTATTCCGTTGTTCAGTTCTGTGTTCTCATTTCATTTGAAGTCCTATTGCTGTGTTGGACGTACGTATACGAATTAATAGACTGAGCGCTAATTAAAACGAATAATCATGCGTATTTGTGAACATACAATGGAGAAGTTCAGTGGTCTAAGTTTGCAAAGAAATTGAGAAGATGCAAGAACGCCACTGTTTACGACACCCAACCATATCATTCAGTGTCTCTAACCATCGATTACGATCATTTCGAGGTTTCCAGCCAGGGAGCCAGGCAGCCCTCCTAGCGTCGCCCAAGTGTCTTCAAGGTTGCTCAACACTAAAGACCATAATGATAGGATGTGCAAGTTATTATTCACAAAATGCAAAACGAGATATTGTTATCACCTGAGCAGTGTGCTTACATTCCATTCATCTTTGATGTCCCAGGGTCAGGTCCTCAGTTCAGCCACTAGACTCGTACCGCTAAACAAATCCAACATGATCCAACTAATTGTGTATTGCTTTTTGACTTTTCGGATAGTCGCTCAGTGGGCACGTGAAAATTCAGCTCATAGTGAGTCGGAAAAATTTCCTCAAACAAATATGAATAGTTTAGAGTTGAAACCACGTTAGATGAAGTTCAGCGAGGCTGAAATACAGATCATTTTGTAAAATCTCACCAAATGGAGAGGTTTGTAAACACTCAGATGGCTTCCTAACGTCAAGCCCCACTTTTCAAACTTTCCATCGTATATATCCCCTGACCGGGGAAACAAGAGATATCCAAACAAATGAAAGTAACTAGTTTAACTGCGGGGTTCGGGTGGGGGTAGAATGTTTGTGATGACCGACAAAGAGCACACTGGGATAGCTGTTTCGTTTGATTTGGGACTCGTCAGTATTGTCATTCGCACACGGTGATAACCGTCGACAGGAATGTTCGGATATTTGTTTGCGTTTTCAATCCTGACGGAGCTAGAAAAATTCTGCACTACTAACTCTTGATCGGTCATCACAAACATTTCCGATGCATTTAAATGCATTCAAGCATAGGGAGGAATTAACGATTCCCCAAGGAGTGAAACTCACCTCCGTAATCAACAGTGCCTGTGAAAAAGCAAATGTGTTAGTCCGAACATTCATCGCCTAGAAAATAACTTTTGTTTAAAAAGTGCCGAGAGAAAAAATTCCAGTTTGAATAAGACCGTGCGATGTGATCTTTTCAAATAATCATAGCTGAGCACATGTCAAAATCGGAGATTTATTCTCGGGTGGTTGCAGGTAATACAGTAATCAAAAACTCCATGGGGTGGACATTTTAATCATATTTGTTGAACACATGTGTCCCAACCTCATGTGATTGTGTGGGTGATAATATGTGAAAACGGTCCTCCGAGCTATCGGTGTAGTCCTGAGCTGGTTGAGCTTAGGTAGAACAAAGGTGTGAATTGTGTCGTATGTGAGCTACTCCATCGTGTTCCCTTCCTCCCCGAAAGTCTGTATGAGTTACAAACTGATTCCTTCCGTCGTTCCATTCCATTTCCCGTTTTTTATACCGTTGTTGTTGTTGTTGTTAAAGTCTGCATGTGCTGAAATGTATGAACATGTGAAATCATCATCATTTCAAAACACGTTCTTTTTACAAAACGTTTGTACACAAAAGCATTGCTCAGCAGTTGTACTGATTGTACAGTCAAAACTTCGATGAATACAAAACCCTATGTCTTTAACAGGATGATTATACTTTTCAGAGAACAAACGAGACTGTTTTCTTTCTTTTTTATAACACACGTGTTTCCAAATCAGTTAGTTCATTTGAGTTACCTTGAAAAATAACCTGTAGTATACAATGCTAAGGATTCTAGTCTATAAGTAGTTATAATTCAGAATTCAGTTCGTGTTTGAAAATCATTTTTCCTTCCGTGTCACCACTGGTTACGTTCCCATCTGTTTTGTGAGTCCAACCAGAGATGCAGTCAATCGCCTGCTATGTCGCACTCAGAAGAAGTCGCATTTTCCAATATCTCCTCACATTTGAAAAAATCCAAACCAATCACATGCTTAATAATGTACTTGCTCACTGTGTATTTTCACCGCTTCAGTAAAGTTGCTTGGTTGTTGATCTATTTTTGGGTTGGTGCAAAGCCGCATCCACGTTGTACATCGTTCGCCGCCTCCATTGTAAGTTTAATGTCCCTGGATGTGTTATTGGTGACCTTGTGTTTATTATACGTATTACAGATGTACACTGCGGTGGACTTTATATATTCAGATTTTTGGTAAGCCTATAATTGAAATAAAAAATGGAGGACTTTCTGGAATTAGTAAGCAGTGACTAGGTTGAAAAAATCCGTAAAGAAAGGGGAGTACCTCAGGGACACTTGAACCTGAAAAACAGCCGAAAACCGAATGCATTGTACTAACTGTGGGCGACAGAAAAGCTAACAATTTATTCGGTACCTAAAGGTTATGCGAGACGGTGTATCTAAATTCCGTCTTAAATAAACAATATAATTATTCGAAATAAGTTATAGAATGACAGCATTTTTCGTTGATGTGGTGTATTTTATGAAAAACGGTCGATTTTTCATACTACCTAATAGAATCTACTACTGCTATTAACATGCTGTGTCGCACTTTCTGGAATTTACTCACTTTTTCGAGTTCTCGAGGGCCGCGATATACAGTCAATCTCCTGCTATGTCGCACCCCTCTCGGGAATTCGAAAAAGTGGGTAAGTTCCAGGAACTGTCACATAACAGGGTAATCAATGGTAGATGGTAGTAGGTAGCATAAAGGTTTTGTGCCAAAATAAACCGGGTCGATGAAAAGTAAGTTAATCCTATTAGTTGTTCCCAATAAATATGATTATAAACTGTTTGCTTATAACGGAGTCTAGATCTACCGTACTTTATGTATCGAAGAAATTTAAATCTTTTATAACACCCCCAGTTTAATATCGGTACATTGCATACGGTATTCAGCCCTTTTCAGTTGTGTCTAATTATCCCAAACGACCTTCTTCAGGGTAACTTTTTCCGACCCAATTATCCCATATTAACGCCAGATATTCCTCAATTCCATTGCAATGTGAGGCTAACCACAGAATTGATTATATGACGTCCACCATAACATACAACTGTTTTAGCTATAATAATCACGTCATTATCACCTCTTTCAATGAAAACTTAGTGAACCAGTTCGAATACAGTGAGAAGGAAATAACATCTGAAATAAGTGAAATATCTGTTACGAGGTAAACTCAGAACATTGGCTTCCTTCCCATGTTCAAAATGATTGTTCGCTGTGCAATTTATTCACTAGCGTCTGCAGACATCTATTCTTTCATTCACTTTTGTTGTTACCAGTGTATGTTCAAAGCGATTGAAGTATTCGCCATGTCCGTTGTTGGTCGAATTATGTTCAACACGTGATGTCATAACGTGCTTTACAAACCATACCTTTTCACTTTAAGATGTCCGAGTATCAATTTAAGATGTCATGCTCTTATGTGGATAGTACGATAGTTCGATTACTCCATCGTTTCACATTGTCTTGTAATTTTGTGATCATCTTATTTACTTTGTACAGTCTGTCCGTGTGTTGAAGGCACGTCTGCTATACAGTATTTCACGGTTTCGAGGCGAAGCCCAAGTGCCCCTGGTCTACTAAAACCTCGCGACTGTAAATAAGGTGTGCTTTCTTCCTCGGTTACTTGGGCAAGCGCCAGATCTCTTGTTGCGGTGACCCATCCAACCGATCGATAAATGAACCCGAACGGCTGGCATAGGAGGAATGAAAACGTTCCAGTGATGATGACACTTGGCCAACGTTTGAATCGTCCAAGGTACATGCATTACTTTTTTCAAATCGGTTCTCGTGAAAATTTTCCTGCAAGCGGGAGTTTAGTTGGAAGAAATTTCCTTCTGTTCAGCTAACCCAAGGTTAAAAACACCAACCTACAGAAATAACGCCAACTCTCAAGCAATTAAGAATTCACAAACTGTCCTTAAACCCGATTTGCGATGACCTTTGACAAGTGATCTGTCTAATTTCATCATTGTTCTAGGACAAGTGAGAGTTCATTCATTCACACAGGCGCGTCCGCGCGACGGTGGTTATCGATCGCTCGGATCTGACATCTTACTCCACTCACCCGCTCACCAGTCAATGGCGATTATCGTTCTTTAGTTTGCACGTAAGTGCGACAGAGCCCATCAATAGATCGAATGACCGTGGCTTTGGATCACTGTAGCAAAATTGACCACATTCGAGTGCCTCACAGAATTGCAAAACACTTTGCAGATTACAAAGATGTATTTTTGGCAAAATCATAAATTGTCGTTTGTCTCAGCCTGGCTCTCCTATGGAACTCCACAAACGCGCTGTTTAACTCATATGTACACTTCAATAACGGATCCGAACTATAAGGATTAGCCAAGGCAAACAGCTTCAATTGAACCAATCATTTATGCGCCTCTCTGAATGAGATAACTTCCGGTGCATTCACTGCCTGACATTCATTTTCTTCTTTGCAAATGCTTAGCTTGATGTGAAACGAATTCATCTAATGACTGAAAAGAGACTTGATACAAAAGAATTAAATAACCCTCTTCTTCACCGTCAAATTCCAAATAGGTGATTTATTCTTCGAAAAGACGGTCATCAACAGACACGTAATGAGTAAAGTCCCCGATCAAATCGCATGTATCCTATGATGGCTATAATGGTTTCATCTTCGATCAAAACATATTCCAGTAAATCTTTCCGAAACGAACATTTGAAAGATCAAATTACGCCCTGATCCATTGGTTGTAACATTGAAGAACAGCTCAGAGGCAGTCATACCAGTTTGATGTTGGAGCACACAATGGCTTGGTCATGACAAGGAGCGCTTTCCATA